GGTTAGAACAATTACAAAACCGCCAAGTCATACGCATTTAAATTAATTGCGTAGGTTTTGAATGTATTTACTTTCGGAATATTAGGGTTAAAGTTTATTTTAGTTTATTTCTATAAAATAATTAGTTGACTCAATGATGTGTTAATAGATAAAACACAATATGCTGATGTCGAGAGTCGTTGAGTACAAAATAGTGTCCAGAAATTATACTACATCGTTTAGGATGTCTCGTTGTAATTATTTCAGAATAATTAACTATAGGTCTATGTACAGACATTGCCTATTTATGTGAGAATCATAAATACATTATTCTGAACAAAATATATTTCAATTTTTTTTAGAAAATTATCCAATATCTTTTAAGACGCCCACTTCTCATGAGAGTTCGAAACTTAAAACGGCAAGAACCAATGTGACTTTTTCCGGGTTATATGTACTTTCTAAGATGGTCTAGATACCACTGACAAACGGTGAAGGAAAACATCGTGAGGAAAACTGGGCTTATAATTTCTAATTATAAGTTTGTAATCGCCAACCCGCATTGAGCAAGCGTGGTGATTAATGCTCAAACCTTCTCGGTGTGAGAAGAGGCTTTGCTCAGCAATGGGCATTTATACGCTGTTGATGATAAATGAACCATATTTGTCAGATACTCACATAACAATAGATGACCATTGAAATATTGATTGAGTTGAAATTGTAACTAGTAGGTGTTTTCATTACTGTTTAATTTATTTAATCCGATGTGATTCAGTATTGAATATACATATAATGAAGTAGGCGGTGACGCAATCCCATTATAGATCAGTGAGCTGTAAGCGCGGATGAAATTATTAGATTACAAAACGCGTGTATTTAATGATTCGCGAATATCATTTCATTAATCACTTAAATGTGTCATTGAAATATGTGACCAATATTAATTTATTATATGAACATTTTCGTGTAATTTTTGAACAGTGACTTTAATGTATAAAATTCGAAATATCCAATTCATTAACTTCTCCCGCCTTCGGTGAGGCGAGAGGGAGTGTCAGACTTTTGCTGACTTAAAACTACCCCGTCCCTATTCCTGTTTTGAGTCGGAGTCTTAAGCCGTTAAGTTGTCCGCAATTTCGGGTCGGGCATCAGCCCTACTAGGCCCCGTATGTGGTGGTCTGATGGCCTATTGTTATATACGGTGAAAACAGCATGGTGTTGTGTTTTCAATGTATGTAAATGGAAGCTAAATAAACTTACTTCCGAGCGTACGGCGCGTTGCGTTCCGCGCGCGCCTCAAAGAGTCATCAGACCACCACAGATGGGGATGGGGATTCGGAGTCGCGGAGAACCTAACGGGTAACCGGGGCTCCGGCTCAATGTGCAGGAGAAGGAACGGGGTGGTTTTTAGTCAGTAAGAGTCTTACACTCCCTCCCGCCTCACCCAGGCGGGAGCATTCATTCGATGATTTTCCCCCCTTAAAAATAAATAAATAAATAAATAAACTTACTTCAAAGTTTATTTAGTCTTAGGCTTCGAATTCACACTCTCATCTCAGCAGCGAGTAAGTTAACTGCGTACTGTTTTTTTTCTTATTCGTGTTGAATTATTATTAGAATTTCCGTCTAGCCAGTCAGTAAATAAAATACTCTTTCAAATCGACAAGTGAAACTGTTTAACGATCTCTACTTTAGAATTCCAACTGACTTCCAATTACAATATTTAAACATCATTCAATTCAATAGATAATAAAGACGTGCTTCTAAAAGGAATTAAAAAAGGCCTCTCGCTTTACCGCCTTGCTGGCCTTTTTAAGGCTCAGCAAAGAAATCCACGGTCTCTTAATATTGTCTTCAGAATTCTCGCTAGAAATTCGTTTAGGTTTATTAAAATTCAATGTTACAGTTTTAATTAAAATCCGTTCAATGAATAGGTCTTCTTTCGTGGAGGATAAAATGATTCATTTAGGTTTAAATTCTTTTACGTAGGTATCTGATCTGTGAATATTTTTGTGTGAGTATACCTATATTGATTCAGATATTATTATTCTGTGAAATATAAGGAAGACAACAGTTTAAAGGAGTACGTGCGTGCCTAGAAGACTTTGTTACATAATGTCGTGATGGTTTTTGTAGGCTTCTAGCTTAGATAGCTAATTGGGCATGATTTGTATCCTTGCATTATGCTATTGAATAATTTTCTATGCGAAAACTAGTTAAAGCGTAAGACACAAGACCTATGAATTCTGAAATCTTCTCTAAACATTTAGTTATACACAATTCTTCGTATAATCGTCAACCAAACAATGCTGATATTAAAACACACTTATACTAATTTTTACTGCACGGTCGGCGCGGTGGCTGGGCAACTGGCTGCCGCGCAACGTGTCGCAATTTCGATTCCCTCAACTGTGAACAACTCTCGAGTCTGGGTGTCAAGTGTATGTGAAATTGTATGTTATGTGTACCCACGACATAGGAAAAATACCATAGTGACTGGCAACGTTTTTAAAAAAGAATTAAAAATACAGGTATTACAAATTAATTAACAAACATTATGCAAGGTGTCATCATCAACAGCCTACCTCTATATATGACCACTGCTGAGCAAAGCCTAGCAAGGTGCCTAGCAAGCAAAGCAAGGTGTAGATAAAATTAAATTATCAAAACGTGTTCGTCTTACTTTAGGCTTCTATTGCTTTGTATTTAGTTACAGAGAAATCAAGTTATATTAGAATTGTTAAAATGTCAGTGTCGACTTGAAAGTGTACACCCAAAAATAGATCACCCGTCTACCTGGCGTTGCCTAAAGAGGTTGGTTTAGTAAATCAATAAAACTGTCTAGTGTTTAGTTATGTATTTGCTATATTAATTGCATTTATACTGATTATTAAGATCGGTGGAGTATTTAACATATATAACCGATTTCTTAAACAAGGAGTATGTGTGTTCATGATTATTTTACGATCGACTGAACCAATTTCGATGCGGTTTTCAGATAAGTTTTTGTTACACTTTTTTTTGGATGGTGGGAAAATCGTCCAATGACTTCTTCCGCGCGGGATGGAGTGTCAGACTCTTACTGATAAAATACCACCCCGTTCCTACTCCTACACTTCGAGCCGGAGCCCTGGTACATTAAAGACACAAAATATTACATGCTTGAAATTTTACTATTAACATGATTACCGTAGTAGGTATGTTATATTGAGTGACCGATATTAGAAGACGTGACGTCACAAACAATAGACCACGTTTTGCGGTTTACTGATATTGTCATACAGCGTCCTTATCTTAATTAAAATTTACCTAACAAATCATTGATGAAATGATGAAGTAAATCAAGTTATATTATCTAACATGGAATTTTATCCCATTAATATAATCCATTGATTACATTTTTTTCTCATTACTACCTAATGGTAAGCAATCGGCGTCACCCACGTTTACCCGGTACTGCAGAGGAATACCTCTAAAGTGTATTAACAAGTGCATAAAAAATTAGTACTTTTAGGGATTATGATATTGAGGATTGTTGGAGATTCAAGGATTGGGAAGATTCACGTCAGTTTTTTGTGAGGTAATCAGGTCGAGCCGGTCCATTCGTGCCGAAGGCACGGCTCTCTAATATTATGCATTTATAGCTTCTTTTTTCCTTCAAACAAAATGTTCTAAATTTACAACAAAAATACAAATAAAAAATCCTTAATCACATAGCAAAATGATGCTACATCTGATAGAGACAGACAATCTAAATGGTTTAATGTTTTCGAGTAAAATTTGCACATAATTGCCACATTTAGTCATTAAGCATTTAATTAATATGCAAGTACTTGAAGCGGAGTAATGTGATTTGAATGTACATACGTCATAATTTGTTTAAGTCGTAACAATAAAAAGTCACAAAGGAAAAAGAAAAAAAATAGATTCTAATTTTGAATTAATTTATCGACGGTGTTAACGCTGTAGTTACAAAAGCAAATATAATTATACATGTTTGCATTAGTGTTCTCGTAAATTAGAAAAAATCTTAGTTTTACATAGCACAGGATTAGTTTAGCTAGATAAGCTTGTTACTTGTTAAACATTTTTCTAATGAACATTGTGGAAAGAATAGTAGCGTTTAGAATTTTTATTTTTATTTTATTACTACAAATATCTTCCCGTTAGCATTTTTATAAAGGAAAAAATAATCGGATTAGGCGGCTTCCATCTCGTGCTAATGGTTAACAATTTAAATTTTACTGCGAAAATTTGATATTTTTTTGCAAAAGCAAGGAATACTCATTAAAATTAAGGAAGTCATGTTTAACAGACTTTTTAGATGTAAACACAGAATGAAAGAATGAATCAGCTTTATCAAACTAAATATCATTATTTTAATCTAAACGATTTCATTTCCCGAGTTTCCCCAATTGGTATTTGATTCCAGACATCCAAATTATTCACACTATATTAAAAGCTAGCTATAGCCAATTTTGCCTTGTAATAAAAAAGAAATGCGGAGAGAAGAAAATCATTTCAGTGTATGGCGAGCGCCGGCTGCATTGGACAGGCGAGACATCCAACCTATCTGCTCATGAAAGTGTTATTGAATTCCGTTCGTCTTGCGATATTCGAATCAGCTAGAACAGGATGCTTCCAATTCGTAACTCTCCACATATTTTCGTATCTACATACATGCATACAATATGAAAGTTACATGTAATATTACATTAGATTCGAGCGAATAGACAGATGTGATAATTATTTGAAAAAAATCAACAACATTTCTATCTTCAGTGATATAAGACTGAACATAGCACAACTGAAGTTGTGTACGAGTAATATCCGTTGCATGTAGGTCTGGTATCAAGGTTTTCGAGTTATGTTTTGATCGCCCTCCGTGCCATCAAATAGTCATATTTTGTAAGATAAATTCTCCTCTAGATCACGCAACACGATAGTTGTTCCAAACGCTACTTCCACAGGCGATATTTTTCATACATGGCTGGTTCTAATATATATTTTCTTTGTTACAGATTCGTTTACTCATCAAAAAATGAACAAGTCACACAAATGGGATTTCCTAGTAAAGATTTCCAGCAGGAGGTAATTTATACGTTTTACTACTCCCTGTACCCTTTACCCTACCCGTTGCGATAAGAAAGAATCGCCAATACATTTCCATTACGCATTAAAAGGGTTATTTATTGTTACAGAAAATTGGAGTATGAAAGGATGAATACAGGAAACGCGCCCGTCTCACACAAGAAGAATTACCGACGAATGCTTGCCAAATGCTTTGAACGATTTTCGCGACTCATGGTCTTTCCCAACAGTACCACGTGAAATGTAGCCAAAGAATACAACACAACTTCTTCAAAATGGGGCAAACAGCTACACACGTAAACGCAAATTACACATTAATTAATTATACTGATGAAATAATTGAGGATGACAGAGACGCTTGTGCCGTCGCAGATGACCCTAAATATCCGAGTAGTTTCGGTATAACACTTGCGGTACCAGAATGGGAGGCAATTTGTACAGCCATCGTCCTAACGCTAATAATAATCTCAACGATAGTTGGAAACATTCTGGTGATCTTGAGTGTGTTTACATACAAACCCCTTAGGATCGTCCAGAACTTCTTCATAGTATCACTTGCTGTGGCGGATTTGACAGTAGCAATATTAGTATTGCCACTAAATGTGGCATACTCCATTCTAGGACAATGGGTATTTGGGATTTACGTATGTAAAATGTGGTTAACATGCGATATAATGTGCTGCACTTCGTCCATTTTAAATTTATGTGCAATTGCATTAGACAGGTACTGGGCGATAACTGATCCTATAAATTACGCACAAAAGAGAACTTTAGAAAGAGTGATGTTAATGATTGGAGTAGTCTGGGTACTTTCGTTAGTTATTAGCTCTCCACCGCTCCTGGGGTGGAATGACTGGCCCGACGTCTTTGAACCTGATACGCCTTGTCGTTTAACTTCCCAACCAGGCTTTGTTATCTTCTCTTCATCTGGGTCCTTCTACATACCGCTAGTTATAATGACTGTAGTTTATTTTGAAATATATTTGGCAACTAAAAAAAGACTTAGAGATCGTGCTAAAGCAACTAAGATCAGCACTATTTCTAGCGGTCAGAACAGATACAATAATAAAGATAACGATAACAATGATCAAGATTCTGTTAGCTCAGAAGCCAATCACAATGAGCACCAAGGCGTGACACGGTTGGTATCAGACAATGAGAAAAAGAAGAGAACCAGAAAACTGACACCAAAGAAAAAACCAAAGCGACGATATTGGAGTAAGGATGATAAATCTCAAAACAAACTGATAATACCAATTCTCTCCAATGACAATTCGGTAACCGATATGGGTGATAATTTAGAAAATAGAAACACATCATCAGAGAGTAACTCGAAAGAAACTCACGAGGATGATTTGATTGAAGTTACTGAGCCTGCGCCAGTGAAAAGTCACAAGCGGCCGAAGCCTAACCAGCAAAGTGCTGTTTATCAATTCATTGAAGAAAAGCAAAGGATTTCCTTGACACGTGAGCGTCGAGCCGCTAGAACCCTTGGGATTATAATGGGCGTATTCGTCGTGTGTTGGTTGCCCTTCTTCGTCATATACCTTGTTATTCCCTTCTGTGCGAGTTGCTGTTTGTCCAACAAGTTTATCAATTTCATAACTTGGCTTGGCTACTGCAATTCTGCACTCAACCCTCTAATATACACCATCTTTAACATGGACTTTAGGAGAGCATTCAAAAAGTTACTCTGTATGAAACCGTGATTGTGCCAAAGACAGTAAATATTGTGTAGAGTTTTATGCTTATACTGAATGATGCTGATTTGCTCAAATGTTTTAACTCATTCGTAAGTAGATTATTAGGATGAATAATAATTAACGTAACGGAAATTTGATTATAATGATAGTATTAATATTGATTATGAATCTCAGTGTGCATTTATTGTATACAGACGATATTACATATATAGTATCTGTATTATCTTTCAAATATTGTAGAGTAGCATCGTGTATATATTTAAACATTGGATAGTGCATAGCACTTTTAGATTTCTAAATGTGTGTAAATATGTTTTGTGAGTTGACCGAATTTGGACGAAGCATTGATAACCAACGAATACTTTCAAATTAATTATGTAATCTTAATATTGTACATACATATCTTGGTCCGTTTGTATATAAGTATTTGTAAATTAATATATCTTTAACTGTTCATACATAAATAAATATTTAATTTAGTAGAACTAAAGTTAAGCAGTTTATTCAGTCGTTAGAGTGATTTGTTTCACAATTGTATATCCCTTTGAAATAATTTGAGCCCATATTTAAAGGGGATATTAGACTTGCAACAGTTAGATTGATTTAATCCTGGATTGTAATAAAAATTTGAAAATTAATATCGAGTTTCATTATAATTAATAAAACGACGTGTACATGCGGAATTCACTTGACAGAAGTGAAGTCGGTTTATTGAGGCACAGATAATAAAACACTAGTTGCACATACTTAACACTAGAGGGCGTTTGGTGTAATCTTATTTTTATATAAACTAACACCCCCACTATATAAAAATAATACAAGTCCTTAACATCTCTCCACCAAACCAATAGCATTAACAAAAGCTTTATGCTTAATTGAATTTAAACTTTTAGTAAGTAAATCTGCTGGCATATCAGCTGTACATAGGTACCGAACATTTATCAAATTTTGAGCAATAATTTCTTTACAAAAATGAAATCTTATATCTATAATGCTTAGACTTATTATGAAATACAGGATTCATTAATAATTTTTGTGCACTTTGGTTATCATTATACAGAATAATAGTATGAACTGTCAGTTATTTCACATTGTAAATTTTGCAAATAAATAGCTTCTTTACAGCATTCTGAGATACCTATATACTCCGCCTCTGTACTAGAGAGAGCAACAACCTTCTGCTTTCTGCTTTCCCAAGATATTGCAGCACCTGACAATTCAAACACAAAACCCGTATATGACCTCCTACCAATGACATCACTACCCCAATCAGCATCAACATAACCAACAATTTCAGAATTAAGCTTTGAATCATATTTTAAAGCATAGTGTTTAGTCTTCTTTAAATATTTCAAAATTCTTTTTGCATGACGCCAATGTTCCTTGGTAAAACAGTTGTTAAATTGGCTCATGTAACTAACTGAAAATGATATGTCTGGACGAGTTAAAACGGACAAAAACATTAAGCTACCCATTAGACGCTGGTATGGTATGCTAAAATCACAATTGTTGCCTGTACTAAGGTTTAACTTACATTCCATTGGTGTATTTGAAGTGTTACAATCCAACATATTAAATTTATCCAACAACTGGTCTATATAATTCTCTTGGTCTAATGTTACACAATTTTCATTGCACACTACTCTCATACCCAGACATTGTCTTATAGGTCCTAGGTCCTTAATCTTAAAATTTTCCCCTAACAACCTTTTTAACTTTACTACTTCATTACAATCATTGCTAAATATGAAGAAATCATCGACATACAATGCAATAACAGTTATACATTTCTTCATTCTCTTAGTAAACAAGCAAGGTTCATATTTCGATTTATATAACCAATATTATGCAAACAGTCTTCAACCTTTTTATACCACATTCTTGAGGACTGCTTCAGCCCATAAATGGCCTTTTTTAATTTTAAGACTTTACCATCATTTAAATCATCAAAACATTCTGGCTTTTGCATAAAAATATCTTCCTCAAGACATCCATTTAAAAATGCTGTTTTTACATCTAAGTGTGTTGTTTTAAAATCTAATTTTACAGTCAAGGCAAATAGTAATCTTAACGTAGAATATCTAACCACTGGAGAGAATGTCTTATTATAGTCCACATTATGTCTCTGAGTAAAACCCTTTGCCACTAGACGAGCACGATATAAAACTTTACCGTCCACATCACATTTTTTCTTTAGAACCCACTTACACTGAACCACACAAACACTATTATTCGGAATTTCAACCAACTCCCAAGCTTGATTGTCTTCAAAACATTGAAGTTCTTCCTTTACTGCTTTTTGCCATATTTTTTTCATGTCCAGTCAAAGCCTCCTGCAAAGTTAAAACTCCAGCTTCCTGAAGACAGACATTTTGTTGGCTACTGAAACCATACCTATCAGGTTGTTTTCTGTTTCTAGTTTCCCTTGTGGTGGTTACAGTTTCCTGTAAACTTTCTTCTACATCTTCATATTCACTTGGTACATATTCAGAATCAGAATTATTTGTAGACTCTGTTTGGGATGTGAGAGTGTCAGACAAGCTTTCTTTCACATCCCCCACTGAAGATGTCTGGTCTGTACTTTTAATTGTTTCATTTACTGTTTTCTGTTCTACTACTGCTATAGTAGTGTTTTCTTTTCAACAACTATCACATCTCGGCTGGTTATTATCATATTCTTATCTGGATCATACACTCTGTAGCCCTTACTTGCATCAGCATAGCCAACTAGAATACCTCTTTGGGCCTTTTTATCCCACTTTTGTCTCTTTTCTTTAGCTATGTGTGTCATTACCATGCTGCCAAAAACTCTTAAATGACTTACATCGGGCTTCACACCATGCCATAGTTCATAAGGTGTTTTTCTTTGTAATACTGATAAACCTGTGCGATTATGCAAATATACAGCCGTGTTTGTGGCCTCGGCCCAGAACTTCTTGCTTAACTGTGCATCAAAAAGCATGCACCTTGCTTTCTCGACTAAGGTTCTGTTCATTCGTTCACATAATCCATTCTGCTCAGGAGTATATGGGCATGTTGTCTGATGAATGATTCCAAATTTCTTCAAATAATGATTAAAATTACCATTACAGAACTCTCTTCCATTGTCACTTCTTATAATTTTTATCTTCTTATTTGTTTGATTTTCAACTAACGATTTATATTCTATAAAGCTTTTCAAAGCTTCATTTTTGTTTTTAGAAAATAGATAGCTGTCATTCTGCTAAAGTCATCAACAAATAGAATGAAGTATTTATGACCTCCAATAGAATTGCATTCCATTGGACCACAGATATCCGTATGAATAATATTTAAGACTTCCGTACTTCTTTCACTCACATGACTAAAAGGTAATCTAGTCTGTTTACCTTCACAGCAAATATCACAGTTAGATTTTGAGATGTCAACTTTCTCTTTCAAGGTTAATCCATCAACTGTATCCTGCATTTTATTCAGACATTCACTGTTTACGTGTCCTAATCTGCGATGCCAGAGCTCTCCCGATGTGACTGCTGCTGCAGAAATGGTTTCTTGAAGTTGCAGCTTATAAACTCCATTTTTTAACAATGCATAAGCCACCAGTGTACCTTTCTGATTATATATTTCACAAGTGTTTGTAGTGAACACAACTTTATTCCCTTTGAGAATCAATTGACTAACTGATAGCAAGTTAGTTGTTAGTTTCGGTACACAAAACACATCCTTGATGTCCACATCAAAATTTCTACCATTAACCTCGGTAAAAATCTTTATATCGCCTGAACACTCAATCGGCACTTGCGTCTTGTCAGCAATTGTAATGTTCTGACCTTTCTTTTCATTGGAAATATTCGTGAGCCATTGTTTATTTGGGGTTAAATGCACACTGGCTCCAGAATCTATATACCAATCTTGCGTGTTAAAATTTCCGCTAAGAAAAACGGCACTGAATACGTTTGTTTGTTTGCGTTCGTTGCCTTTGTTATTCGACACTTCAGCCATACACTGTGATTTATAATGACCTATTTGTTTGCATCGATAACATTTAATTTCTTTCTTCGCTTTTGTTGACACTGAACCGCCATGTTGATTTTTATTAACCATAGACTTCCTGGCCGTCGATGAGTGTTGCCTACTTCTATAACCGCTGACCAAAACGCCGTTTGTTCCATTTCCATCATTCATTTCGTTCATTCCATCTTCCGATTCCATGTCAAGTAACTTACTTTTTATGGCGTCCGTTGTTATCTGAATTCCTGAGTGCTCTATGGCCATTATCATGGGGGCATATTTTCAGGTAGCCCTGCCAACAACAATGAACCAATCCACTCTTCATTTAACTGAAAACCTGTATTACACAACTTTTGCCCTGTTTCTATAATCTGTGTCACATATGCAATCATGGATGCACAATTTTCGAGTCTTATAGAAATCAATTTCCGTAGTAAGGTTATTTTTCTTGCAAATCCGGAATCGTCAAATAAGGCCTTTAGCTTCTCCCACAATTCCTTTGTAGTAGAAACATTTCTAATGTGCACATATAATGACGTATCAATCGTGAGAATTAGCTTTGCTTTTGTTTTTGCATCATCCTCGGCAAACAATCTTGCATCTTCCTGTGGTTTGATGCATTTCATCATCCCTTCTAGGATCAAGAAGTTTTCCGCTGCAAATACCCATTCGCTAATTTTCTCTTCCTCGTAATTTGGGCACATTGACAATGTAATTTGCCGCCATTATTTTTTCTTGAAAACGAAATGATTGCCTATGCTAGCTACACTAAATATCCTACTGCGAATTATTATCACACAAACTATTATTGGATAACTTATAACTTTCGCGATATTTTAGCTAATATAAAATAAGAGCCATAGTACTGGGCCCATAACCTAATAAAACGACGTGTACATGCGGAATTCACTTGACAGAAGTGAAGTCGGTTTATTGAGGCACAGATAATAAAACACTAGTTGCACATACTTAACACTAGAGGGCGTTTGGTGTAATCTTATTTTTATATAAACTAA